CTATGCTCACAGTCCCATTTCCAGGCACACAGTGGATCTATGTTACCCTTAAATAAGTTCTAGTACTCTACTCACAAACTCCATTTAAATCTTTGGTTTCATGATGGAACTAGAGTTGTTCATGCAACTAGTACAAACCAGGAAGCCACCATTTTGAAACCAAGTGATTTTTTGCTACTAATGCTGAATCAGGAAGACCTCTCTTAAATGAGTTGAGGTGCCCATGTTCACTGCCATCAGACAGGGTCTATCTGAAAACATGCAGCTACTAAGAACTTGTGCTTGACTCTCATATTTGTGGGTCTAGAAGTACTCTTTTTTAAGGTTTTTGTTTCTTTTAGGTCTTATGTGCATCCATATCCCAGATGGTGGGTACCAGTCTGTTGGCGGTGGCTGCTCATTAGTTTCCCAGACATCCAGATCAGACAGGCGGGTGGGCATCTTTCTTCTTCTGCAGCAACATGGCTTCTCTCTGACTCTGCCTACTCTTTCCTCCTCTATCTTCTTGGAATTTCTGCCTTGCCCTGTTCTGCACTACAATAGGCCCAAAGCAAGTTCTTTATTAACAAATGCTATTCACGGCATATAGATGGGTATCCCACATCAGGTCTGGGTGGGGTGAGTTATGGTACATAATATTTAGCTGCTTTGATATGCTACTAACACATTTTACATGCTTGCTTCTGGACAACACCGTGGTGCTTCTTGGGCCTTCAAAAATCATGTCATTAAAAGTAGCCACAAACACTGATCCTGAGCTCTTCACTCTAGCAGGAATAAGAAAAAAGAAGAACTGATCTTGGCTCATGAGTGGATGCTCCTTACTGGATGTGGCACTCAGGAGAAAGGGCCCTGCACCTGACCTGGACAGCACAGAAGAATGATCCTGCTATCACAAACAGTTTGGTGAGCAAGCCCAGAAGGCAAAAGAGCAGGAGACTGAGTCCCAGACCCCTCATCTGTAGTGTTTTGTAATGACAAGAGCAAGATGCCCTTCTCCCTTGCCCCTTGTCCCTGTGGCAGGTGAGATAACTGTCCCTGACACTCACCAGCTGCAGCATCTCAAGAAAGCGGGCCATGAACCTTACCTAGGCAACACAGTAGAGTGAACCCTCCTGACAGGTGTGAGGATAAGCTGCCCTGAAAACGAGAGTAAGAGAACTGAACCTACCCCTCATCTGTCCTATGGTGACATCGGCAAGGGAGACAATCTCCCCTACCACCAGCCCTTGCCACCTCTGACAGGTTGGAGAACGAGTTCTAATGTCACAAGAGTGAGAGAGCTGGCCCTGTCTCTCTCCAGCTGCAGCTCTCAGGAAAATGGCCCCTGCATCATACCTGGGCAATACCATAGATTTGGCCCTGGTGGTACATGTATGGGTGAGCATGCTTTGTTGCAATCTCATGAGAGCAGAGGAGCCAGTCCCACACCTTGTTGTTTACTGCATATAGTGATCTAGCCAGGGCAATGTTGGAAGGTTCGTCCTGATAATGAGAATGAAGGAGAGAAAGCAGGCCCAAAACCAGGGCTATGAGTTGCCCATCCCAATATCCACATATCTATGATTTGCTGGAGCACGTGAAGGGGTACATCCTGCAGACCCAAAGCTTCATGATCTCTATGATGTAGAAAAGCAATAAAATATTCAAGAGGAAACCTAGTGAAGGCCCAGAACTGATAGTGTGGTAGAAACCAGAGGCCTGATACTAAACCAACAACTCATTACAGTGAACACTTGCAAGTAAAGATGATTGGACTAAAGGGTATGCTTTGTAACAAACTACACTGTATCAAACTACAGATTCCACAAAAGTTTTTTTTTTGGCTTTTTTTTCTTTTCCTTTATATTTTCTTTTGCTTTATCTTGAGAGGTTTGCCAGGTCAGAGGGCAGTTCTAAGGGAAAGAGAAATGAGTGGTAAGAATATGGATGATTTGAAATCCAGAGAGAATCACAAAAAAGTTAATTTAGTAAAAAGACACTCACATAATTACTGTCCTTTATTATTTTCCTCACATGCATTTGTAATATTCAAACCTTTTGGGTATTATTTTTATTTAGAAAATATAGGCTATATAAAGAAAAAAATTTTCAACTTATTTGCTCTTACATATAAACTTTCTTAATGTTCCTGGCCATATATTTGATTCATACAATTACTTACAGAATGAGAAAATTACCTTAGCAGAGAAAAGCCTGTATAGGTACATATTAATTAATTAATTATCAATTTGAAATGAGCAAATTATTGTGATTACCTTCAAATTATATATTTATAATGGAAAAGTGAGAGTAACACTGTCTATTGCTGCTTCTTTGACCACTGCATGTTTAAGAAAATAAAATTGATAGTAATATAATGGTTAAATCAGGAAATGACTGAAAATATAACCAAAGAGTTATGAGAGATTAAAATCAAAACATTCTCTTATTCTATTTTTTAAATTTACATATGGAAAATTGAGTAGTACTTATTGGCAATTCCTTTTGATTACATAATTCTGATAGTTTTTACTCCAAGTTGACCCATAGTTCTTGTGTTTGAAAACATGATGTCTAACTGTTGGTTCTGATTTGGAGGTTGTGACACTTTGAAAAGTGGCACCTCGTTGGAAGAAGTGACGATTTTGAAGGCAAACTTTGGAAGTTATTACCCCATTTTTGGCTTCATTCATCCCTCTACTTACTAGTGCAGGTGATAGATGAAGAATAAGCCACAATGCAATGCTTTCCTGACAGAGTCATGAGCATAGCTTACCACCATACCTATAAAGTCATAATGTATTGTTTCTACTGGAAAATGAAGGACTAAGCTTTCTTTCCTCAAGTTCTTCAGGTGTGTTGTCACCTTGATAAGGAAAATAATACAAACAATGTCTACTGAGAAATTTTTTATAGCTATAATAAATGGGTCCTTCAGTTCATAGAGCCTTTGATATATGGGAGGGTATTGAAATACACAGACATGTGACCTTGAAATGTCCCAGAGACTGTCATAGGAGATTGATTGGCATCCTGGTATAAGTGCAGAGGATCAGCAAGTAAACAGAAATGTAGACAATTACAACCATATCCATATTAATGAGACTGTAGAAGGGAAGTAGCTTGAAGTGATCATATTCTGTCTTTATAAAACATACCTAGATATACGTCACCAAGTTTAAAATTTGAATGACATTGAATTCAAAACTAATAAACTACTTTTTTAGAGTACATTTAAAAATAGAATAAGAATCAGGTTGTGCCATAGTTACTACTCACTGTTTAGTTAGATTTATGATGGTCAAGAAAAAAAAATAAAGCAGAGAGATGTGAAAATGTGTAATTTGACCAGGAAAAGGGAAAGACTGAATTGAAAGATGTGCAAACAATGACTGTGAATAAAGTAAATGTGAACAAAGCAGTGGAACCTTGGAGAATAGAGTAATTAGTACTGGGGAGTGGTAAACATCCCAGACAAACCTCCATCTACCAAAGACTTCATCTGTAAAACTGCAAATTCAAAAGAGAAGAGAGTTACTGGAAAATAGTACTTGAAAAGAGGGTAGCATCTATAGGATACTCTCCTCCAGTAAAACTGCCCAAGAAAAATAGTTCCAAAGTTATCTGTCCAGGTTATTTAAAGCGACACAAGCCAGGTTCTAAGAGACAAAAATAAAATCACAAGCCTTGTATCTTTAGAATGCAAGTGGGGCTAAAGAAGGCCTAGCACTGCAAGTCTTGGGTATTTTTATTTTTCCCTTCCAAAAGTTATATAATTATATTCTTTAACTGTAATATATCTAATTGTATGTAAGACTCCCTAAGTGATGTGCCTTTTTCTACATTCTTCTATTAGCTTATAATTTTAAAACCTTGTGTTGAAGTATTTCAAGGAACACTGCATTCTTAACATAAAAAACATAAATGCAAATTATTTTTGTAATGCCAATGTTTTTAAAATTAAGAGCTACCAATTCAGTCACTATTTGGGATCCCAGGAACCAGAAAAACACCATCACAGTTTCAGCATATATTCCTTGCAATTTCAGCTGGAAATTATGCTTAACTTTAACGAAGTCTGAGGAGTCTCTGGAATACGTACTTTGCATTTGCCATGCTTTCTCTCAACATGAGTTCATTAATTTACTAGCTATCCAAACAAATTACAGAAACCTAAGTCTATTCCCAGTGCAAACATCCACAGCATAAACTTCACATTAGGTTATTTGTAACTGAAAGCCTGGAAATTAGTGACAAATAATGTTACAGATGGCATTACTAGGAAGCTGGCTCACATGCCAATTGTTCCGCTTCTCTCCCTCAACTAACGTGCAAGGAAAATGACAGAAAGTTTAGATCTGCAGGAAAGTTCCTATAATTACTTCTCCCAAGACAGCTGAATGGAATACTTTGAAAATATTCGGAGAGCAATCAGACTTTCATGGAATGATTAGCATCTTCCCACCTCTCTTGCTATTTTTATCTCTCATTTTTCTTAGCTTTTATTTTCTTTTTGATAGATTTTTAATACCCATCTTCTAAGAAACAGTAGGGACTCAAACTTGTTATTGACAATTAAGCATCTCTGACATCACACAAGTTATTTACTTTTATGTGCTCTGGATATTCAACTTGTAGTATATGCATTATTATGCTGCCAAAGTCCAACAAAGAAACAAATGAACTGATCAGTTACTATAGTAATCATATTCATGGGATTATAAAATTGATAGATTTAATCTTGGCAGAAGAAATATTGGTTCAGAGGCATACAAGTAAGTGCAAACATTTGTAGTCATGTGATACACCACTTCCAGTAATCATAATGATTGCTGAATTAAGAAATAGTTGAATACCCAGTCACTGAGCCGCCGCCGAGGACTCAGCTGCCTCCCCCTAGAGCCCCCTTGCTTCCCGAGGCACTGTCCCCGTGCCCCCCTGCCCTCCTCCCCCCGCCCGCCTTCTCCAGCAGCCGCCTTCAGCAGGCCTTTTCCACCAAGGAAAAGGAATCCTATCGTATGTCCGCTATTCAGAACCTTCACTCTTTCAACCCCTTTGCTGATGCAAGTAAGGGTGATGACCTGCTTCCTGCTGGCACTGAGGATTATATCCATATAAGAATTCAACAGAGAACCGGCAGGAAGACCCTTATCACTGTCCAAGGGATCGCTGATGATTACGATAAAAAGAAACTAGTGAAGGCGTTTAAGAAGAAATTTGCCTGCAATGATACTGTAATTGAACATCCAGAATATGGAGAAGTAATTCAGCTACAGGGTGACCAGCGCAAGAACATATGCCAGTTCCTAATAGAGATTGGACTGGCTAAGGACGATCAGCTGAAGGTTCATGGGTTTTAAGTGCTTGTGACTCTGAAGCTTAAGTGAGGATTTCCTTGCAATGAGTAGAATTTCCCTCCTGTCCCTTGTCACAAGTTTAAAAACCTCACAGCTTGTATAATGTAACCATTTGAGGTCCGCTTTTAACTTGGACTAGTGAAACTCTGGGGCCAACTCCCTGACCAGCAGGAAAGAACAGCCACCAGACGAGGATTCTTCCCAAATCACGCTTTCGCTTTATTGGAGCCTCTAGGTTATAGGGAGAGCAGGAAGCAAGGGGCCCCAAGCTCTGAGCTGCAGTTGCTTATATAGGGAGTCTGCCTAGCAACCTTTGATACTTCAACTACTTCTCTGGAGACCCACCAGCCGGAAAGAAAACAAACATCCTTGTCAATTACGGACCACAAGGAAGTTCCCCTGCCGGTCAGGGGGGAGTGTAGGCAGCTAGATCCCACAACTCACCCTGGTTTCTGGTGGAAGAACTGCAATCTTATCAAGCGAGGCCAGAGCCAAATGCCATCTTGTAATGGCAGCCACTCAAATTGGCTCCCAGCATAACTCCTTCATGCAATAAACTGAAAAGAGCCATAAAAAAAGAAAAAGAAATAGTTGAATCATTAGAACAGAAAAAATACCTTTTATTCATTCTAAATATACTTTCTTCACCTGGCTTCTTTTTGAAGCTCTATACATTAAGCTCCAAAGCACATGGGATTTATTATTTACTTCATATAGTTTTGCATAATTTTATTTGATTTGCTCTTAAAAAGTGTATATTTTATTCTTAAGGTTTTTTTTACATCTCACCCTCTATAAAAACATATGTATTAATTATTATTGTTGTATTTGTGTATGTTGGTATGAGCATACATGTCATGATGAACATTATACGGTTCTGGGATCAAATTCACATCATCAGGCTTAAAAGGTATATTTACCAGCAGAGAAATCTTGCAGGTACTCATCTGATATTTTATTTACCAGTTTAATCAGTATTTTAATATTCTCAATCAATAATATTAATTTAATAGGTACATTTTCAGTTTCAGTAAGGTAAATATTACTATAAATTTTCATCTTTCCTTTCTTTGGTTTGCCCTTCTTTTCTTCCTTTGTTTTCCTTTTGTCTTGCCTTATCTTCTTCATTTTTTTTCTTCCCCTTATCACCTTATATTACCACTCCCATCTTCTTTCCCTCCTCCTTGACTACTCTCTCTTTCTTTCTTTCTTTCTTTCTTTCTTTCTTTCTTTCTTTCTTTCTTTCTTTCTTTCTTTCTTTCTTTCCTCTTTCCTCTTTCTTTCTTTCTTTCCTTGCTTCCTTCCTTCCTCTGTCCCATTCATCTTCTCTCTCTCTCTCTCTTCCTCTTTCTTTCATTTATTCCTCCATATCTTTTTATCCTCTGCTTCTCCTATTCCCTTTACCCTTTTTCTTCATTTTTCCTGTTTTTCTCTTTTCACTCATCTCCTTTCCTTTCTTCTCCTCCTCTCTAATGACATTTCTGTCTTTCCTCATTCCATCTTTCCTCTTGGTTTCCTTAATACTCTATTTCTTTCTGCCTTTTTTCTTCCTTCTCGTTTTTGGCAAGCGGGGGGGGGGTACATATTTGTTTATTTGTCTGTGTGTGAGAGTGATTAAGTATAGGCCTTGAACATAGTATATAAGTTCTACCTCAATCATTGAACATTTCCCCAGCCTGTAATACTTGATATACTTTTCTATCTTAAGTAACAGTTAATTATGCATTTCAGTCAGGCACAGAATCACTATCCAGTCTCATCCTAGACTCAAACTGTTGGCACTCCTCTAGTTTCAACTTTCCAGAGTGTTATATTATAGCCATGAACCACAAGTCTTTTCTTTTCTTTCTTTTTCTTTTCTTTTTCTTTTTTTTTTGTTTTTTTTTGAGAAAGGGTTTCTCTGTGGTTTTGGAGCCTGTCCTGGAACTAGCTCTTGTAGACCAGGCTGGCCTCGAACTCACAGACATCCGCCTGCCTCTGCCTCCCAAGTGCTGGGATTAAAGGTGTGCGCCACCACCGCCCGGCTGAACCACAAGTCTTAAGTTACTTTGATAGGCTCCTGATCATGTTTCCTTCTTCTAGAAATGGTTGTAAATCCTCCAGGCCTCAGCTGTTTTCAGGAGTTCTCCGTATTCGCACTTGTGATAGCTAGGGTCTGTGAAGTTTGAGAAAATTATTATGTAGAAACTTTCACATTGTAGGGAGTATTCCTCTGCCTCACCAGCTAGTTCCCATATCATGATAGAGATACTTCTTATTAATGATGAGAGCTTAGTTGATAGCTTAGACTAGTTTCTATCTGACTCTTATAACTTAAATTAATTAATTTACCCTCTACCTTATGACTTTATTGCCTTTTCTCCTATTACCCTTGCTACTTGCTCTCTGTCTGGCTGTAAACTCTCCACTTCTTTCTAGCATCCTGTGTGACTGAAAATCCTCCGGAGTTATTGGTCATTCAGCTGTTTATTAAACAAATCAGAATGGCACATATTCACAGCATACAAAGAGATTATTCCAAAACAATTCCTTTTCAACGCAAGTTGCACATATAGAAAACATAAATTCCTGAATTTTTTTTGATACTTCCTTCCTATGTCACTATTCTTTAGACATGGATAGTTACAAAACCTCAGAATTCCTAAAATAGTTTTTAATATTATTATCATTTGTCTCATTCAACATCATTCACTCAGCATATTGATAACTAACATTAATTCATTTAATACATGATTATACATCACAGTTTTAAGAATTTTTATTTTAATTTCTTCACTAAAATGATAAATGACCCAATTTTTACTAAATATATGTTTGGATTCTTCCATTAAAAAGAATGAAACTTTGTATCTCACTTGAAATTTGATGCTTTTAAAAATCTGAAAAAAAAAGCATGGCTTCAAGTCAGTGAAGTAATTGGAGCATCTATTAGATAAATATTTTCAGTTAAGACAACTCCTTATCCTCCAGTAGACTTTTGAGGGAACATCCTCCTTTTCATTCTAAATCTGTTTGTGAATAAACACTACTTTGCAAATCACAAACTATATTTTGATCACTTGAAGTGCCTTGCAGAAAGAAATCATTTTTCAATCAAATAACTGTTTAGATAACTGGTTCATGAAGCAATCTGAACTACATTGTACAGTGACATCAAGCATCTCTACAGTACATCAAAATATACTGCCTAGTGAAGATACTCAGTTGAATTCACAGACTTCAAAGTGGACAACAATGGGTTGCACACATGCTAGATGGAAGCTGTTATTAATTATGTGAATCCAAACTGTTATTTAGAGTGATGGAAAAAGCTGAATGAAGGTTTTAAGTTGAAGAGTGTTAGGAGTAAAAGGTCTTATGAGTGATGTGATATATATATATAGAATTAGGTTAAAGGGAGAAATGTGTGAGTTAGTTCAATAATCTCTGCTAATACACATATGATTTCTAATAGTTCCACCCTATGTTTGCCTAGGTAGGATTAAACCATTGGAGCATTTTAAGGTGAAAATGCACCTGTAAAATTAGTGGAAATTTTTGTTTGCTTGTTTGTTTGTTTCATTGACTGTGGTTTTAGAAGATAGCTTTTTCTGGCAGGAAAGAAATGGAATAAACAGGAGACATATGCATCAGAAACAATACTTTCTTTGTGAGATTTTGTTTAAAAGCCTTAGAAATACAGTGACAGTTCAAATAGAACATTAAATTGATAAAGTTTTCAGTTTAGATTATTCTTTGCATTTGCACCTAAACTAGAAAAACATTTGAGAATGCAGAAATATTGGGACTAGAGAATCCAGTTGTGGATTGTGTCCATATCCTGAAAATGGAAGATGATCTGCATAGGGATGGATGGAATACAAAATTCAAAGTGAATAGAGAAGGCACTGATGATTTTTTTTAAATTTTTTTTTATTATTATTAAAAATTTCCACATCCTCCCCTCCTCCCATTTCCGTCCCCCTCCCCTGTCCCTCTCCAGTCCAAAGAGCAGTCAGGGTTCCCTGCCCTGTGGGAAGTCCAAGGTCCTTCCCCTCCATCCAGGTCCAGGAAGGTGAGCACCCAAACAGACTAGGCTCCCACAAAGCCAGTGCATGCAGTAGGATCAAAACCCAGTGCCAATGTCCTTTTCTTCTCAGTCAGCCCTCAGTATCAGCCACATTCAGAGAGTCAGGTTTGATCACATGCTCCATCAGACTCAGTTCAGCTGGCCTTGCTAAGCTCCCATTAGATCAGCCTCACCATCTCAGTGGGTGGGTGCACCCCTTGTGGTCCTGACTTCCTTTTTTTTTTTTTTTTTTTTTTTTTTGACTGTGTTCCAGAAAGGACAAATGGGTAACTTGTCTTATGCTTAATAAAATTCATAGTTTGCTGTTTTTGATGTAGTTGTTTTGAAAGACAGAATTTCGTAAGTAAGTAACAATTTTATCTTCTTGTTGGGCCTCATAAGGCCTGGGCATTAAGCCCAATGTTGCTCCCTAACTTGAATTTGGTGAGGCCTAGTGTGGCTTCCTGGCCCTGGCTTGAGTTTGGAGAACAGTCTCCTGCTACTCAACCTGGGTCCATCTCTGCCCAGGCACTGTTGATAAGGCAGAATGTTGTTGGCCCTTGTTTCTTGCTTCACCTTGGCACATCCCAGGCTTCTGCACCCCATAACAAACCTATATAAGTCCTTGCTTGATACCATTAAATGAGTTTCTGCTTTGACAGACTCCAGACTCAGTGGTTGTGTTTCTCCTTGTGCCCAGGGGCTATGTCACCATCCCAAATTCAGCCCCATGGAGAGGTAGGCTTGGCTCTGTCCCAGATTTTTCTGCCACAGAACCAGGAAGATTTATGCCCCGTTTGAGGATGCCTGTTCTGCCAGAGAACCCAGCACCCACACACTGAGACAATGGGGGTGTTCTATCGGGAACTCACCAAGGCCAGCTGGACTGGGACTGAAAAAGCATGGGATAAAACCGGACTTGCAGAACATAGCGGACAATGAGGACTGCTGAGAAGTCAAGAACAATGGCACTGGGTTTTGATCCTACTGCACATACTGGCTTTGTGGAAGCCTAGGCTGTTTGGTTGTTCACCTTACTAGACCTGGAAGGAGGTGGGAGGTCCTTGAACTCCCCTCAGGGC